GGCTAGATTTAGCAACAGACGAAGACTTTGCAAAGCAGGCCTTGGCAATGTGACCTTGCTTACTGCACTTATAACAAGTTGCAGACTTGAACTTGCACCGATGAGATGCATGGGGACCTTTGCATCGATGACATTTTTGATAATTATCACTAGATTTAGATCTAGGCTTTAAACGTGCAGGCTGTTTAGCATAAGTTGAAATGCTCTGATGGGGTTGGTGTTTATTGACTAACCTGCTGTTTACTGCATGGATCCCTGAAGGCGTAAGAGATTTCGCCGCATCTGATGACTGCTGGAATGAAGTTGCAAGTTGTATTGCTTTTTCTAATGTGAGATCTGACTCGAGCAGCAACTTTCTTTGAATATCAGGGCTGTTTACACCTGTCACAAACTTTTCACATAGTCTGTCAGACAGCGTATCGCCAAATTCACAAAATCTACTTAGATGACGTAAAGCAGCAACATATTCTGATATTGACTCGTTTGGTTGACGAGTCCTACTGTCAAATCTAGCTCGACATAGAAACTTTGATGGGGTAGGCGCATGGTGGTCTGTTAGCAATTTGCTCAGCTCGTTAAAGCTCTTGGTAGTTAGACTAGCTGGTGCGCATAAGTCCTTTAGTAGCCTAAATTGTTGAGGCCCTATGACTGTTAACAAAACAGCTCTCTTTTTGGCTTCTATCGTCACGTTGTTTGCTTCAAGGTAAAAGCTTAACCTATCTACTATCTAGGTAATCTTGAATGATTTCATCATTCGAATCAAATTCTTTTATTTGGCCATACCGCGCCATTATTCTAGAAATATTTAGCTAATAAGCTCTAGCAAACCTCTTTTTGCGTAATTAGGTGCTCTTTCTAGTAGATTTTTATCCTCGTCGCCAAAATGTGATAGATTAAGAATTACACAACGGAGACAGAAGCCATCAACATGTAGATGTCTTTAATGGTAGACCGGAAGAGGAAGAAAGTACAATGCCCAAGGGACATCACTCAAGATAACAATATAAATATAATACTAATACAGAAGAGTGAGTTCCCTTGACCTCACAATTATCTCAATCTATTACACTTACCCACTACACTACTAAGAAATGTATGGAAGATACTTTACGTTATTGTCATTAGAAATGAGGTTTTGGATATTAATACTTTTTTTTTAGTTACAGGGTATCTAGATCTAGTTATTTGGATTAAAACTCATTAGGTTAATATCTTAGTTGCCCATTAGGGCCTGGTGAGCATAGGGAATATCAGGTAGAGCACATAGTTAGTTGTTCTCAGCAAATGAGACATTCTGAACATCTCTAGATTTATGCCTAGCTTCCTTTAATAGTTTTAAAATTTGAGATTGATCTAGGTACCCATCTGTGTCTGGTATTCTTGGATATGAACCTGGGATTAAAGCTCAGGACATTAGGGTCAGCAGTCGTGCGTTCAATCCCCTATTGTAAACTTGAAGCAGTGGTAGGGTAGAATTACATTGTTACTAAAGTCCAGAACTAAACAAACATATTTAAGAACGTTTATAAGTAGGGGGTTATCCAAACCTAAGTCTTACTCCTAAGTGAGGGGAGGGGAGTGGAAGATTTTTTTTGTAACGATGTGTTAGGAGCAGTGGCGTAGCGAGGTCGGGTGTCACCCGGTGCGGCACTTAATGGTGTCACCCCCCCTGAGGCATAGAGACCCTTCCCAGGGACAAACTTTCAAATTTTCGATTTGCATCCCCCCCCTCAAACTTTTGATTTGCACCCCCCCCCCTCGAGTTTTCGATTTGCACCTCCCCCCCCTCAAACTTTCGATTTGCACCCCCCCTCGAGTTTTTCTCTATATATTTTGCTATTTTTTGCCTTGGTGTCACCCCCCTAAATGGTGTCACCCGGTGCGGTCCGCACCCCCCGCCCCCCCCCCCCCCCCCTCGCTACGCCCCTGGTTAGGAGGATATAAGATACTGTGACGTCATACATTTAAAGACTTCTAAAAACTCAATTTTAGCAGGTTTTTTACATTGAAAAAATTATTTTCTACATATTGTCATGAAAATTGGTCAGTGAGTCGAATTTTCATCAACATTTTCTAAAATTTCTATCCATTTAGCAACATGGCAATTCGCAATTTCTTTGCTAAGGGAAGCCACTCAATTAATATTTTCAACAAAACTTTCAACTTGGTTATATCCCGTGACAGTAAAAAAAAAAAAAAATCAACGACAACAAAAAATGAACTAAAAACCGTTTTAATAACAAGCTTAGGGGTCGTCTATAAATGACGTCACACTCGTAGGGGGGAGTCCGTAATTTTGTGACGGTGTGTGATGAAGGGGAGGGGGGGGGGGGTTCAGATGGTGCGACGTCACACTTTTGCGTTATAAAAAAGCAATGTTAAAAAACGAATTTTAGACGTTATTTCGCATTTTAGATAACTGTTTTAATAAATTGTAATAACAATTGATTAAAATACTCTATTTTGACAGAGTTCAGACAAGATTTTGGAAAAAAATATAGCTGTTTAAAAAAATTCCAACTGCAATTTTGAGGGGGATTGTGTGATGTCATTTTAGGGGGGGGGGGGGGTCTGGCTTTTTGTGACGACGTGTGACAGAGGGGAGGGGGGGGGGAGGTAAAAATCGTCAAAAAAAGCGTGTAATAATGCACTAAAAAGAAGAAAATGAATTATTTTCTTTAAATATATAATAATACACTACTATCTAAGTTACTATAAAGAAAAGCATGGTTTGCTATAATAGGTATTGGATACTTTGACTAATATTTAGAAAATTGATCTGTTAGAAGTGCCCCAAATTTCGCTGTCCGCTTGAGGATGAAGACAGCGGAAGTTAAGAGAACAGTATCACCCAGGAACCCAAACCCTAACCCTATCACCCAGGAACTGGAAAATTGACGAAAAAATGAGCCAAAAAAAAACCAACTATTAATCATACACACGGCTACAGGACATTACCCCCCCCCCCCCCCCCACATCAATTACCCCCAGATATCCCCCCAGAGAAATTACCTATCAATTACCTCCTGTCAATTACCCCCCCCCCCCCACCCCCAAGTTAGAATCCTCACTCTAACTCAAATTCTATACTTATACCTCTGGTCGGCTCGTATGTATATATAAAGCAAAGTGGTCGTGTGCCCGATGGAGCACTTTCTTGCGCCGCAGACGCTTCAAATTAAGCATGCTCCTGTCTTGGGGCAATAGAACACAGGGACCGGTGCCGGTTGGCCGCAAAGTCCAAGAAGACAGGGTCAAAACTGACCTCAACTGACCGGCGCCTTATATGAGCTATTTTACGAAAAAACACTTTTGCCGAACGACCCCCTTGATATGTTGTGAAGTCGTAGACCGACCCTGGAGGGTAAAAAAAAAACAACAACACATTCCCGTCGGAAAAACCCCGTAGGGTCGTCAGATTTGTTAAGATGCCGTAATTTCTTATATAAACATGTTTGTGAAAAAGTAAGCAAAGACAACGTTATTTGGTATATGTACAGGTGAGGTAACTTTTTAAAGTACTCATTTTAAAATGATGTGTATATTATTTTTAAAAAAATTAAAAAATCACACATTATAGCATTCGTTTAAATAGACATTTCGTTATAAATTAAGTTATGTTTTATAATGGAATTGTAAAAATTAATTGCAAAAGTGAATTTTATATAATTTATGATTTATACTTTTTGGGTAGCTTCTGCAGTTCTAATAACATGCGAGTAATAAGTTTTCCAATTCTCTATCGATGTTTGCATGACAAAAATTACCCCCCAAAAAAACAAAGTGTATATATATATACATATATATATATATATATATATATATATATATATATATATATATATATATATATATATATATATATATATATATATATATATATATATATACATATATATATATATATATATATATATATATATATATATATATATATATATATATATATATATATATATATATATATATATATAATATAGGCTATGTTTGTGTGTGTGTGCGTGTGTGTGCGTAGGTGTCGGCCTACGTAGTCTTATAATTTAAATATAAGCCACAAACGAGTACATATATGTTATATAAGCTATAATCACTGCAGACTAAATAGTAACTATGTTTACCTATCAGAGTTTCTTCCAAGCATCTCTTCGGGGGGGGGGGGGGGGGGGGGGGGCGAACCCCCCCCCCCCCCCCGAAAATTTTTTACCGCCCCCCCCCCCGAACGAAATGAAATTTATAAAATTTATATAGAAAATATATACTTTTAACAGTGTCCGCCCCCCCGAAGAAAGTTTACCGCCCCCCCCCCCCGAAGATTTCAAGTGCCCCCCCGGAGAAAAAAGTCTGGAAGAAACACTGTTACCTATTGTCTTTTAATTATACAGTTGGATGTAGCATTGTTTTCTTTATAGATCTAGTTAGCACAGGGGTCGGCAACCTGCGGCTCGCGAGCCGCATTCGTCTCTTTTTATATCAAGATGCGGCTCTCCAGCTCCTTGCACAAATACTAATAATCTTAATAAAACAATAAAATATTTGAAATAAAAAAATGTTAGTGGCTCTTTAAAACCAGGGACATTTTGAAAATTGTAACTTTTGGCTCTTCCGCTTCAAAAGGTTGCCGTAAATGTAATAATTGTCGATTTGTACGTAAAAGACTATTTCTCTTTAATTAATCATTAATTGGACTGGCAAAAGCAGCATTTTTTTTTCTTCTGTACGTTGCACCTTTTTGCCTTGGTGTCATCCCCCCCCCTCCCAAATCGTGTCACCCGGTGCGGCTCGCACCCCCCCCCCCCCTTGCTACGCCTATGAGATCTAGATATATAATATCTAACATATTGCTTTTCAATTAACTAAACTATGAAAATGACATGACCTTTAAATTCCAGTTTTATAAGCAGAAAAGTCTGTCATTGAACAAAATGTAGATAATTTGCTGAATTATCGATCTTCGAAAAAGAACTAGATCTAGGTCTAGAGCTAGATCTAGATCTAGATGTCACTACTTTATGTTAAGGAAGCCATTTTTAAAATTGTAAACAAATAGGCCTAGCTGCCCTAGATTATAGATCTAGAGATTTGAGTAGCCTACTAGAGTCTAGATCTAGAATCTAGATTTAGATCTAGAATCTAGATATCTAGAGTCTAACGAAAAAGTTTAGATCTAGATTCTAGACAAGAATTGTTTATCCGCACATTCAATCTAGATCTAGCAGTTGACATAAGACTTGTTGGTCAGATGATATTCTTCCCCAGGTGAGTTCCACTTGCGACGTTTAATAATAAATATTAAATAATAAATAAACTCTTCGGCTCTTCGGTAATCTATCGTTTTAGATTTTAGTTTTTTTTACGTAAAATCGCCCGCGGCTTGATCTAGATCTAGAATCTAGATAGAACTCTATCTAGATCTAGAATTCTAATCTAGATCTAGAGTAGAGTAATGTACGAAAAAATTACCTCATTGTCAAGGTAGGCCTAGATCTAGATCTAGATCTAGATCTAGATCTATTAGTATCTTACCTAGATCTAGATCTAGATTGTGAAGTAGATCTAGACTTTTCTATGTGATATATTTGTGTCAAATATTTAATATTAGGCCTATAGATAAATGAATAATCATCCTAAATCAATGGCTAAATAAATAATAAAATAGAATCTAGGGTTCAAAGTATTAAGCCCCAATCAACACCCCACCCCCACAAAACCCCCAATAACTAATAATAATAACACTGCTAACTACTTCTGAGGTAACAACCACTGCTGTTCTTTGAAAACAGAGAAGCAGAGGATTCATTTTATGTAATTTATGACCCACTTGGTCCAATAGGGAGAGGATGAGACAGGATTTAATCCCACTGCTCTTTCCCTAAAATTTCTCATTTCCATAAAACCTGTTTTGTGAACTTTTTTTCCAAATATACATAACTTGGGAAACTTCACTTTGTAATAAACCAAATGAGTTTTTCAAGCCCATTCTTTGTTCCTGTATTAGAGCATTGGTTGTTGTACATTTTAACACTATTTTTATAACTATGGCTAGAATAGTTTTATTTTGGTGAATTTTTTTTGCACAGTGATTATTGGTGCCAAAACAAAATGGCCGACATTTGTCCCATTTTACCAAAAGTTTTTATCATTATCAGAGTAAAACTTGACTGATCATTACCATAATGGTTTTATTTGTTAGATAATAACTAAATCTACATGAATACATTAATTTTGTCCACTAGCTTGCCTGTTCAGAAAAGTTATAACAGATACTGTTATGTGCAGAGCCGGCGTTTGGGGGTGGCGAACGGGGCGGCCGCCCTAGGCCCCGCGCTTGGAGGGGCCCCGCGCTTCAGTATCGTCACTATTATCTGAATTAGTTTGTAAACTTAAATACTTGTTGCTGAATTCACTTGTGAAAAACGAAAAGGTCGAATTCCGACGTTGTTGATTGTTGTAACTGAGGCCCCGGTTGATGCTCATGAGTTATCACCCACCTGAACTGGGACAGGCCGTAAATTATAGTGTCACACCTCTCCTTGTGTGAAGGGTAGGGTCACCTCGCATTTGACCTGAGGTGACTGGGGATAGGTGGACTAGAATTAGCTCCCGACCTGACCAGGGAGGAAAATTTGGAAACACCGTAATCAGATATCCTATTGTATGCGGGCCGATGAAGTTTTGTAGTGAACAGACGGGATGCCTATAGTAAACAGTTAGTGAACGCTAGTCCTGACTTACTTGTTGTAGGTAGGTGTCGTATATGTAGGCCTACTTGTCTTGGTATAACAAAATTAACATTCACTGGCGGGCATAGGGGCGGGGGGGGGGGGTCCTCATCGGGGCGGGAAGGGGGGGGGGGGTTTCCTCATCGGGGCGGGGGGGGGGGGAATCCAACAGGGTGATATTATTATTTTTTTGGAAGAAAGTAAAAGTGTTGTTATGTTGTGTCATCTTATAGATTCATGCGTTCCCAAACATAATTATTAATTTACCGAATTCATTCAATTTGTTATATACAATAGTTTTCAATGGTGCTGACATAATATAGTCATCGAATTGTCCAAGTCGGACAACTTTTATGTAGGAATGGGCATCGTTGAAGGGCAGAGATATGGTAGTCATTAATAAATGCACATTTTTTTATTGTAGGATATCCTTTACAATAGTTAGGTGCATAGTGATTTTGGTTTAAAAATATTGTATGAAGTCTAAACAAATTTTGAAGTGTATACTGTTTTGATACATCGGGCCGAGTTCGCTTTATTGTAAAGTTGTCCTGATTTCTCACACGTCTAAAATACCGGCATTCACGGCAGCCCGAACATGCCGTCGGTAAACTCATAAATAAGGTGTAGCTGGCTGTCACGTCGTTTTCTCCCTAATTATAGTAACTAACCTTCTCTTGTGAGACCTCGACCATGGTCGGTAATGTAATACTTGTACGCTCTACAAACACAAACCTTCTTCGGTCAGAGATCCAGTAACATAGTAGTAAAGTAGTACTCGAACTTGGAGATTTTTTTCTTAGGGTTTGGCAACCCAAGGCATAGATTTTAATTCGCAGCTATCCTTTAGTTCACCCCCAGAGTTTCTTCCAGACACCTCTTCGGGGGGGCGAAGCCCCCCCCCCCCCCCCGAAAATTTTTTACCCCCCTCCCCAACGAAATGAAATTTATATAATTTATATAGAAAATATATACTTTTAACAGTGTCCGCCCCCCCCGCCCCCCCCCCGAAATTTTTTTACCCCCCCCCCCCCAACGAAATGAAATTTATATACTTTATATAGAAAATATATACTTTTAACAGTGTCCGCCCCCCCCCCCCCCCGAAGAAAGTCTACCGCCCCCCCCCCCCGAAAATTTCAAGTGCCCCCCCGGAGAAAAAAGTCTGGAAGAAACACTGTTCACCCCACCAGCAGCCAGCTACCCCAAAGATGTACACTGCACTGAGCGTCAGTGATTACATTTGAGAATTATTTCTTTTGGATATCCATAAACATAGAATAGGTTTTCACGATTCGTAACCAGAGTCCAAAAGCTATATTTTTCTATTTGTTTTAACTTTTAATTAATTACTCTTGTTTTGTTGATATTAAAATTTGTCTAAAATTCTGCGCTTACTAAGTTACTAACGGTACAGTCTCTTTTTTAAATACACATAAAACGCTTGACTTTTATATTAACTATTGGTCATCAACAAACAATTTAAACAACTTTATTGTCCTAATTTTTTGGCATGTCATTGAATTTCCTGGAGATTTTTTGGTATGGATTACATAACTGTCAAAAGTGATTTAATATCTTAGCAAGAAAAAAAAAAACAACTAAGAACATTGGGTAAAACGCGGGAGAGGTAAACATCTGTTGTTATAGTGAGAAGTTAGGCATTAGCTCATAAACTCCACAACATTTATCTGTTATTATGTTAGCATGTATAATATATATATATATATATATATATATATATATATATATATATATATATATATATATATATATATATATATATATATATATATATATATATATATATAGGCTATTTATATAATGGAAAAAGGCAGGCCCCGCGCGGATGGTTGGCACTAGGCCCCGCGTGTTCCTAACGCCGGCTCTGGTTATGTGGCTTTTGATACCCTATGTGCAAGTTTCTCATTTATTAGACCACTGAATATGACACTGGTTTAGGAGTAGTTAACACAAAATTTATTAATTGTTAAACAGACTTGTGTCTAAATGATAGAAATACAATTCTAACCTGCTAAAAAGTAAAAATTCAGCCATCAATTCCTATTACGAGAAATAACGTCTAAAATTCGTTTTCTAACATTGCTTTTTTATAATGCAAAAGTGTGACGTCACACCATCTGAACCCCCTCCCTCCCCTTATCACACACCGTCACAAAATTACAGACCCCCCCTTCCCCCTACGAGTGTGACATCATTTATGGACAACCCCTCTTTTTAGAATTCTAGAATCCAGAATCTCACAGCATTCTGTCTAGATCTAGTCTAGATTCTAATAGATAATCTTAAATCTTCTCATCTAGAACTAGATCTAGATCCCAGATAGAATGATTATAGATACAGGTGTCCGATAATAGATTCTTCCATAAAATAGGTGTGTTGGGTTGTTAGTAGTAGTCGTATTGTTATCTCGACTAATTTTATGGTTTGAAATTAGGGTTAGGGTATTTAGGGACAGGGTAAGCATTGGCATTAGCCAGCCATGTGTGTATTTAGAAATACCAGTATCCTAACACCCCTTTTTTAAAGAAGATTCCATTATCGGATAATGGTATAAACATTCTCCCCTTAGATCTAGATTTCTAGATCTCTAGATCTAGCTGTTATTTACTTATTAAGTACTTACTCAACTTAGGCCTAATAATAGTAATTAATAAGTTAACAGTTAAATTAGGGTTAGAGTTTAGAGAGTCTTAGCTATACTTAGTGCTGTATTTTTAAAAAGATTTTGCAATCAAAGCGACACCAACAATACGCTGTAAGTCTTGTCATATTCTCACATATGTAGATCCAACAATACACTGTAAGTCTTGTCATATTCTCACATATGTAGATCCAACAATACACTGTAAGTTTTGTCATATTCTCACATATGTAGATCCAACAATACACTGTAAGTTTTGTCATATTCTGGGTGATTCTATTGATGGGTATGGAGGGGGACTATAGGGTACATTAATTAGGCCTAAATAAAATATAATTAATTAAAACAACCATGTGACCCCCCCCCCCCCCCCCCAGTCAGTCGAGATGGGATTTATATAGTAAACATACACTTTTACTAGTCTTAGGTTAGATTAGTAGTTCTCTGTTCAATGTTGATCTAGCTAGTAGTCTTAGGTTAGATTAGTAGTTCTCAGTTCAATGTTTATCTAGCTAGTAGTCTTAGGTTAGATTAGTAGTTCTCAGTTCAATTTTGATCTAGCTAGTAGTAGTAGTCTTAGGTTAGATTAGTAGTTCTCAGTTCAATGTTGATCTAGCTAGTAGTCTTAGGTTAGATTAGTAGTTCTCAGTTCAATGTTGATCTAGCTAGTAGTCTTATGTTAGATTAGTAGTTCTCAGTTCAATGTTTATCTAGCTAGTAGTCTTAGGTTAGATCAGTAGTTCTCAGTTCAATGTTGATCTAGCTAGTAGTCTTAGGTTAGATTAGTAGTTCTCAGTTCAATGTTGATCTAGCTAGTAGTCTTAGGTTAGATTAGTAGCTCTCAGTTCAATGTTGATCTAGCTAGTAGTCTTAGGTTAGATTAGTAGTTCTCAGTTCAATGTTGATCTAGCTAGTAGTCTTAGGTTAGATTAGTAGTTCTCAGTTCAATGTTGATCTAGCTAGTAGTCTTATGTTAGATTAGTAGTTCTCTGTTCAATGTTTATCTAGCTAGTAGTCTTAGGTTAGATTAGTAGTTCTCTGTTCAATGTTGATCTAGCTAGTAGTCTTAGGTTAGATTAGTAGTTCTCAGTTCAATGTTGATCTAGCAAGTAGTCTTAGGTTAGATTTGTAGTTCTCAGTTCAATGTTGATCTAGCTAGTAGTAGTAGTCTTAGGTTAGATTAGTAGCTCTCAGTTCAATGTTGATCTAGCTAGTAGTCTTAGGTTAGATTAGTAGTTCTCAGTTCAATGTTGATCTAGCTAGTAGTCTTAGGTTAGATTAGTAGTTCTCAGTTCAATGCTGATCTAGCTAGTAGTCTTAGGTTAGATTAGTAGTTCTCAGTTCAATGTTGATCTAGCTAGTAGTAGTAGTCTTAGGTTAGATTAGTAGCTCTCAGTTCAATGTTGATCTAGCTAGTAGTCTTAGGTTAGATTAGTAGTTCTCAGTTCAATGTTGATCTAGCTAGTGGTAGTAGTCTTAGGTTAGATTAGTAGTTCTCAGTTCAATGTTCATCTAGCTAGTAGTCTTAGGTTAGATTAGTAGTTCTCAGTTCAATGTTGATCTAGCTAGTAGTCTTAGGTTAGATTAGTAGTTCTCTGTTCAATGTTGATCTAGCTAGTAGTCTTAGGTTAGATTAGTAGTTCTCAGTTCAATGTTTATCTAGCTAGTAGTCTTAGGTTAGATTAGTAGTTCTCAGTTCAATTTTGATCTAGCTAGTAGTAGTAGTCTTAGGTTAGATTAGTAGTTCTCAGTTCAATGTTGATCTAGCTAGTAGTCTTAGGTTAGATTAGTAGTTCTCAGTTCAATGTTGATCTAGCTAGTAGTCTTATGTTAGATTAGTAGTTCTCAGTTCAATGTTTATCTAGCTAGTAGTCTTAGGTTAGATCAGTAGTTCTCAGTTCAATGTTGATCTAGCTAGTAGTCTTAGGTTAGATTAGTAGTTCTCAGTTCAATGTTGATCTAGCTAGTAGTCTTAGGTTAGATTAGTAGCTCTCAGTTCAATGTTGATCTAGCTAGTAGTCTTAGGTTAGATTAGTAGTTCTCAGTTCAATGTTGATCTAGCTAGTAGTCTTAGGTTAGATTAGTAGTTCTCAGTTCAATGTTGATCTAGCTAGTAGTCTTATGTTAGATTAGTAGTTCTCTGTTCAATGTTTATCTAGCTAGTAGTCTTAGGTTAGATTAGTAGTTCTCTGTTCAATGTTGATCTAGCTAGTAGTCTTAGGTTAGATTAGTAGTTCTCAGTTCAATGTTCATCTAGCAAGTAGTCTTAGGTTAGATTTGTAGTTCTCAGTTCAATGTTGATCTAGCTAGTAGTAGTAGTCTTAGGTTAGATTAGTAGCTCTCAGTTCAATGTTGATCTAGCTAGTAGTCTTAGGTTAGATTAGTAGTTCTCAGTTCAATGTTGATCTAGCTAGTAGTCTTAGGTTAGATTAGTAGTTCTCAGTTCAATGCTGATCTAGCTAGTAGTCTTAGGTTAGATTAGTAGTTCTCAGTTCAATGTTGATCTAGCTAGTAGTAGTAGTCTTAGGTTAGATTAGTAGCTCTCAGTTCAATGTTGATCTAGCTAGTAGTCTTAGGTTAGATTAGTAGTTCTCAGTTCAATGTTGATCTAGCTAGTGGTAGTAGTCTTAGGTTAGATTAGTAGTTCTCAGTTCAATGTTGATCTAGCTAGTAGTCTTAGGTTAGATTAGTAGTTCTCAGTTCAATGTTGATCTAGCTAGTAGTCTTAGGTTAGATTAGTAGTTCTCAGTTCAATGCTGATCTAGCTAGTAGTCTTAGGTTAGATTAGTAGTTCTCAGTTCAATGTTGATCTAGCTAGTAGTAGTAGTCTTAGGTTAGATTAGTAGTTCTCAGTTCAATGTTGATCTAGCTAGTAGTCTTAGGTTAGATTAGTAGTTCTCAGTTCAATGTTGATCTAGCTAGTAGTCTTAGGTTAGATTAGTAGTTCTCAGTTCAATGTTGATCTAGCTAGTAGTCTTAGGTTAGATTAGTAGTTCTCAGTTCAATGTTGATCTAACTAGTAGTCTTAGGTTAGATTAGTAGTTCTCAGTTCAATGTTGATCTAGCTAGTAGTAGTAGTCTTAGGTTAGATTAGTAGTTCTCTGTTCAATGTTGATCTAACTAGTAGTCTTAGGTTAGATTAGTAGTTCTCAGTTCAGTGTTGATCTAGCTAGTAGTCTTAGGTTAGATTAGTAGTTCTCAGTTCAATGTTGATCTAGCTAGTAGTCTTAGGTTAGATTAGTAGTTCTCAATTCAATGTTGATCTAGCTGTAAGTCACATATTGAATGAGAGTTGAATGTTGAACCAGCTGTAAGTCACATATTGAATGAGAGTTGAATGTTGAACCAGCTGTAAGTCACATAAAAAATGAGAGTTGAATGTTGAACCAGCTGTAAGTCACATATTGAATGAGAGTTGAATGTTGAATGGTAAATCCCCAAGCTTAAGGCTTAGACTAGATATATTTTGTCATTAACAAGGCTGGGTTGCTGTGACTTTCATACACTAGATAACAGCTTGTTTGGTAAGATTTTTTTTGGTGATAGATTTCTATCTTATCAGCTTTCAAGATGACTAGGTGTTAGCCTACCATTGATGCCTTTCCAAAAATCAGCTGTTGCTATTTATATTTACAACTACTGTATACCATAAAAAAAACATGTGTGTGGTGTCATTATGACAGTAAGTAGCCCACTAGTTCACACATGTCTGTAGTAGCCTGCCCATGACAACCTGACTGCCCATGACAACCTGACTGCCCATGACAACCTGACTGCCCATGACAACCTGACTGCCCATGACAACCTGACTGCCCATGACAACCTGACTGCCCATGACAACCTGACTGCCCATGACAACCTGACTGCCCATGACAACCTGACTGCCCATGACAACCTAAGACAATGCAAGAGATGATTGGTTGTGTGTCTTGAGGTAGAAATCTTGTATGTGTTTGATGTCTAGCCTCATATTTCCCCTGTGTTGTGGGTGGGGACTATAGATTTGCCATTCAACCTTTTGTTGTGTCTCCTCAAGCTTACCAAGCGAGATCAATAGTCTCCTTGTTCTCTCTCCTGACATTCACACATCCATACATACATACATACATGCATACATACGTACATACATACATACATACATTCCTACACACCACTGGGAAAACATAGTGGGCTGACCTTTGTTGGAAAATGTGTCAACATCATTTTAGTGAATACATTTCATTTGTAGACCAGTGAATAGAAACAGAACCGCAAGCAGTTATCCCTAACTATTCATTGTAGCAGGATTGTGGTGCAATTATGATACAGGACAGTAGCAGAGGTGTAGTGAACTCTCCCTGTGCTTGGGATGAACTTTCAATGGCGCCCATATATATATAGATATATATATATATATATATGTATGTATATATATATATATATGTATGTATATATATATATATATATATATATATATATATATATATATATATATATATATATATATATATATATATATATATATATATATATATATACATACCTGTCTGTGTGCGACAGTCTAAAAATTTAATAATTACGAGAGTGTATAAAGTTCATTTCTTAAAAACTTTACTCAACACCACTTAAATTCCCCTAATAAGATGAGCTACCCTTTTAAAAAGATAAGTAATGTCAGAACGGTACTTAAGTTATCGTGTTCACAGACACACACATACACACACACACACACAGACATACAGACAAGATTGCAAAATTATGTTTTCTGCATGATTACAATACTTTCTCTATACTTCCTATATGAAAAAAGTAATAAACCGGGAGTGATCTCCCCTAAACTTTCTCCAATATTCTTATATAAAACAACAGGGGATGGCAACTCAGGATATAAACATGATTTTCAATCCATTTTTAATTGCTCACACTTTAAAATAGAGTTTAATCTTGTAGAAAAAAGAATTGCACACCAAGTAAACACTATACAAAATGTGTGTAATAGTGCCAAATATTATTAGTAATTTATAAATTCACATGCATTTTTTGAGAAATCTGAAATAGTGTAAATTACTACTTCCGGTCAACGGAAATTATTCAAAATTTGACAGAAGGCAGAGAATTAGATCTTTTACTTACATGTGAAATTTCATTTATCTATCTGAAATAGTCCTCAAGTTATAGGCTTTTGAAAAATTGAAAGTAGAATAAGTGGCACTTATGGTTACCAAAATCGCTGAAAAATTGATACGGATTTATAAATTTGTTGTAATGCTTATATATGAAATTTCATCAACCTAGCTGTAATGGTACTCAAGTTATCCTGTTTACAGACACACATACATACACACACATACTGACAACATTGCAAAACTATGTTTTTTCAACTAATTTTTCCCAGCGCAAGTCAAGTCCATCAAATTTGATCAGTAAGAGGAGATGTCTCATGGGACAGTAATATCACAGCCTAGGCCGGATGAGAAGGGGAGAGACATACAGATGAGCCCCTACCCAGTGGTTGTACAGCCTGGCATGGGTCTCATGCAGGGTCAGCCTGGTAGGTAGATGCTAAAGGTGTGTGTAGGATGGGTCTCATGCAGGGTCAGCCTGGTAGGTAGATGCTAAAGGTGTGTGTAGGATGGGTCTCATGCAGGGTCAGCCTGGTAGGTAGATGCTAAAGGTGTGTGTAGGATGGGTCTCATGCAGGGTCAGCCTGGTAGGTAGATGCTAAAGGTGTGTGTAGGATGGGTCTCATGCAGGGTCAGCCTGGTAGGTACATGCTAAAGGTGTGTGTAGGATGGGTCTCATGCAGGGTCAGCCTGGTAGGTACATGCTAAAGGTGTGTGTAGGATGGGTCTCATGCAGGGTCAGCCTGGTAGGTACATGCTAAAGGTGTGTGTAGGATGGGTCTCATGCAGGGTCAGCCTGGTAGGTACATGCTAAAGGTGTGTGTAGGATGGGTCTCATGCAGGGTCAGCCTGGTAGGTACATGCTAAAGGTGTGTGTAGGATGGGTCTCATGCAGGGTCAGCCTGGTAGGTACATGCTAAAGGTGTGTGTAGGATGGGTCTCATGCAGGGTCAGCCTGGTAGGTACATGCTAAAGGTGTGTGTAGGATGGGTCTCATGCAGGGTCAGCCTGGTAGGTACATGCTAAAGGTGTGTGTAGGATGGGTCTCATGCAGGGTCAGCCTGGTAGGTACATGCTAAAGGTGTGTGTAGGATGGGTCTCATGCAGGGTCAGCCTGGTAGGTACATGCTAAAGGTGTGTGTAGGATGGGTCTCATGCAGGGTCAGCCTGGTAGGTAGATGCTAAAGGTGTGTGTAGGATGGGTCTCATGCAGGGTCAGCCTGGTAGGTACATGCTAAAGGTGTGTGTAGGATGGGTCTCATGCAGGGTCAGCCTGGTAGGTACATGCTAAAGGTGTGTGTAGGATGGGTCTCATGCAGGGTCAGCCTGGTAGGTACATGCTAAAGGTGTGTGTAGGATGGGTCTCATGCAGGGTCAGCCTGGTAGGTAGATGCTAAAGGTGTGTGTAGGATGGGTCTCATGCAGGGTCAGCCTGGTAGGTACATGCTAAAGGTGTGTGTAGGATGGGTCTCATGCAGGGTCAGCCTGGTAGGTACATGCTAAAGGTGTGTGTAGGATGGGTCTCATGCAGGGTCAGCCTGGTAGGTACATGCTAAAGGTGTGTGTAGGATGGGTCTCATGCAGGGTCAGCCTGGTAGGTACATGCTAAAGGTGTGTGTAGGATGGGTCTCATGCAGGGTCAGCCTGGTAGGTACATGCTAAAGGTGTGTGTAGGATGGGTCTCATGCAGGGTCAGCCTGGTAGGTACATGCTAAAGGTGTGTGTAGGATGGGTCTCATGCAGGGTCAGCCTGGTAGGTAGATGCTAAAGGTGTGTGTAGGATGGGTCTCATGCAGGGTCAGCCTGGTAGGTAGATGCTAAAGGTGTGTGTAGGATGGGTCTCATGCAGGGTCAGCCTGGTAGGTACATGCTAAAGGTGTGTGTAGGATGGGTCTCATGCAGGGTCAGCCTGGTAGGTACATGCTAAAGGTGTGTGTAGGCAACGGGAGGGGGGAGGGGATGTGTGTGGGTAGGTACATGGGGGTTAATGTGTGTGTAGGTACCTGGGGGTTAATGTGTGTGTAGGCACCTGGGGGTTAATGTGTGTGTAGGCACCTGGGGGTTAATTGTGTGTGTAGGCACCTGGGGGTTAATGTATGTAGTCACCTGGGGGTTAATTGTGTGTGTAGGCACCTGGGGGTTAATGTATGTAGGCACCTGGGGGTTAATGTATGTAGGCACCTGGGGGTTAATTGTGTGTGTAGGTACCTGGGGGTTAATGTATGTAGGCACCTGGGGGTTAATCTGTGTGTAGGCACCTGGGGGTTAATGTATGTAGGCACCTGGGGGTTAATCTGTGTGTAGGCACCTGGGGGTTAATGTATGTAGGCACCTGGGGGTTAATGTATTTAGGCACCTGGGGGTTAATTGTGTGTAGGTACCTGGGGGTTAATTGTGTGTGTAGGCACCTGGGGTTAATGTGTGTGTATGAACCTTAATGTTGTCGATATGCACCTGTCTCACCCTAGCTTAACGTGGCAAATACAATGGCTTCAAATCTATTGGATCCTAGCTTAACGTGGCAAATACAATGGCTTCAAATCTATTGGATCCTTGCTTAACGTGGCAAATACAATGGCTTCAAATCTATTGGATCCTAGCTTAACGTGGCAAATACAATGGCTTCAAATCTATTGGATCCTAGCTTAACGTGGCAAATACAATGGCTTCAAATCTATTGGATCCTAGCTTAACGTGGCAAATACAATGGCTTCAAATCTATTGGATCCTAGCTTAACGTGGCAAATACAATGGCTTCAAATCTATTGGATCCTAGCTTAACGTGGCAAATACAATGGCTTCAAATCTATTGGATCCTTGCTTAACGTGGCAAATACAATGGCTTCAAATCTATTGGATCCTTGCTTAACGTGGCAAATACAATGGCTTCAAATCTATTGGATCCTAGCTTAACGTGGCAAATACAATGGCTTCAAATCTATTGGATCCTAGCTTAACGTGGCAAATACAATGGCTTCAAATCTATTGGATCCTAGCTTAACGTGGCAAATACAATGGCTTCAAATCTATTGGATCCTAGCTTAACGTGGCAAATACAATGGCTTCAAATCTATTGGATCCTAGCTTAACGTGGCAAATACAATGGCTTCAAATCTATTGGATCCTTGCTTAACGTGGCAAATACAATGGCTTCAAATCTATTGGATCCTAGCTTAACGTGGCAAATACAATGGCTTCAAATCTATTGGATCCTAGCTTAACGTGGCAAATACAATGGCTTCAAATCTATTGGATCCTAGCTTAACGTGGCAAATACAATGGCTTCAAATCTATTGGATCCTAGCTTAACGTGGCAAATACAATGGCTTCAAATCTATTGGATCCTAGCTTAACGTGGCAAATACAATGGCTTCAAATCTATTGGATCCTTGCTTAACGTGGCAAATACAATGGCTTCAAATCTATTGGATCCTTGCTTAACGTGGCAAATACAATGGCTTCAAATCTATTGGATCCTAGCTTAACGTGGCAAATACAATGGCTTCAAATCTATTGGATCCTTGCTTAACGTGGCAAATACAATGGCTTCAAATCTATTGGATCCTAGCTTAACGTGGCAAATACAATGGCCCACAGCACATGGCCACAGCACATGGCCCACAATATACGGCCAACAGCACACGACCCACAGAACATGGCACATGGCCCACAACATACGGCCCACAGCACACGGCCCACAGCACATGGCCCACAGCACACGGTTGTACACTGCACCCCGTAGGCCATGTGCTGTAGGTCAATTACCTGTGTACTACTTGACTAACAATCTTTCTGGTCAATTAAATGTTTTGTTTTCAACTTTGGTTTGACTTGCAGGACTGGTGCAGTGCCCCCCACCAAATGTGGTGGTGCCAATGGGACTTCCTGCTGGGCTCGCCTACCTGGCTAGCTTGGATGAGATAAAGGTGCATCAGATCCTAGAGCTAGCAGAAGGTATGTCTCATCTGATACTCTCTCTGTCTCAACTCTCAGATCTTAGAGCTAGCAGAAGGTATGTCTCATCTGAAACTCTCTCTGTCTCAACTCTCAGATCCTAGAGCTAGCAGAACTTATCTCATCTGAAACTCTCTCCGTCTCAACTCTCAGATCCTAGAGCTAGCAGAAGGTATGTCTCACCTGAAACTCTCTCTGTCTCAACTCTCAGATCCTAGAGCTAGCAGAAGGTATGTCTCATCTGAAACTCTCTCTGTCTCAACTCTCAGTTTCTGTTTCCTCACTTGAGAGATGTATTCTTTGTTTCCTCACTTGAGAGATGTATTCTTTGTTTTCTCACTTGAGAGATGTATTCTTTGTTTTCTCACTTGAGAGATGTATTCTTTGTTTTCTCACTTGAGAGATGTATTCTTTGTTTCCTCACTTGAGAGATGTATTCTTTGTTTCCTCACTTGAGAGATGTATTCTTTGTTTTCTCACTTGAGAGATGTATTCTTTGTTTTCTCACTTGAGAGATGTATTCTTTGTTTTCTCACTTGAGAGATGTATTCTTTGTTTTCTCACTTGAGAGATGTATTCTTTGTTTCCTCACTTGAGAGATGTATTCTTTGTTTTCTCACTTGAGAGATGTATTCTTTGTTTTCTCACTTGAGAGATGTATTCTTTGTTTTCTCACTTGAGAGATGTATTCTTTGTTTTCTCACTTGAGAGATGTATTCTTTGTTTTCTCACTTGAGAGATGTATTCTTTGTTTTCTCACTTGAGAGATGTATTCTTTGTTTTCTCACTTGAGAGATGTATTCTTTGTTTTCTCACTTGAGAGATGTATTCTTTGTTTTCTCACTTGAGAGATGTATTCTTTGTTTTCTCACTTGAGAGATGTATTCTTTGTTTTCTCACTTGAGAGATGTATTCTTTGTTTTCTCACTTGAGAGATGTATTCTTTGTTTCCTCACTTGAGAGATGTATTCTTTGTTTTCTCACTTGAGAGATGTATTCTTTGTTTTCTCACTTGAGAGATGTATTCTTTGTTTTCTCACTTGAGAGATGTATTCTTTGTTTTCTCACTTGAGAGATGTATTCTTTGTTTTCTCACTTGAGAGATGTATTCTTTGTTTTCTCACTTGAGAGATGTATTCTTTGTTTTCTCACTTGAGAGATGTATTCTTTGTTTTCTCACTTGAGAGATGTATTCTTTGTTTTCTCACTTGAGAGATGTATTCTTTGTTTTCTCACTTGAGAGATGTATTCTTTGTTTCCTCACTTGAGAGATGTATTCTTTGTTTTCTCACTTGAGAGATGTATTCTTTGTTTTCTCACTTGAGAGATGTATTCTTTGTTTTCTCACTTGAGAGATGTATTCTTTGTTTTCTCACTTGAGAGATGTATTCTTTGTTTTCTCACTTGAGAGATGTATTCTTTGTTTTCTCACTTGAGAGATGTATTCTTTGTTTTCTCACTTGAGAGATGTATTCTTTGTTTTCTCACTTGAGAGATGTATTCTTTGTTTTCTCACTTGAGAGATGTATTCTTTGTTTTCTCACTTGAGAGATGTATTCTTTGTTTTCTCACTTGAGAGATGTATTCTTTGTTTTCTCACTTGAGAGATGTATTCTTTGTTTTCTCACTTGAGAGATGTATTCTTTGTTTTCTCACTTGAGAGATGTATTCTTTGTTTTCTTCAACAGTTTTGATTGGCTGGGAGAGAAACAACAAATATGATATCTGCAATGGTGCAGACCAAAAATTTATGTTTGCTAAAGAAGGTAAGATGGTCATATATTGGTCAGTGTTTGAAGTCTGTAAGTGACTGGTTAGTGTTTGACTACTGTCATAGACAGGTCAGTGTTTGGCTACTGTCATAGACAGGTCAATGTTTTTCTTAGACTGGTCAGTATTTGGCTAATCTTCTGTGTCTGATGTTTGACGTCAGTTTGAACTTGTTGACAGACACTGACTGCTGCACCCGACAGTTTTGTGGTGTCATGAGACCATTTGTCATGAATGTCACTGACAACAACCAGCAGACTTTGATGACACTTCACCGCCCATTCAGATGCCAGGGTTCCATCTTCTGGTGCTGCTGTTTGCAAGAGATGGAGATACAGTCCCCTCCGGGGGTCATCCAGGGCAAGGTCAAGGAAATGTGAGTACAGGTCAGGGTTAGGATAAGGAAGGGATCACAAAAAATGACAAGACCTAAGACAAGGATAGATTGAATGACAAGACCTAAGACAGGGATAGATTGAATGAGAAGACCTAAGACAGGGATAGATTGAATGACAAGACCTAAGACAGGGATAGATTGAATGACAAGACCTAAGACAGGGATAGATTGAATGACAAGACCTAAGACAGGGATAGATTGAATGACAAGACCTAAGACAGGGATAGATTGAATGAGATGACCTAAGACAGGGATAGATTGAATGAGAAGACCTAAGACAGGGATAGATTGAATGACAAGACCTAAGACAGGGATAGATTGAATGAGAAGACCTAAGACTGGGATAGATTGAATGACAAGACCTAAGACAGGGATAGATTGAATGAGAAGACCTAAGACAGATTGAGAAGACCTAAGACTGGGATAGATTGAATGAGATGACCTAAGACAGGGATAGATTGAATGAGATGACCTAAGACAGAGATAGATTGAATGAGATGACCTAAGACAGGGATAGATTGAATGAGAAGACCTAAGACAGAATGAGAAGACCTAAGACAGGGATAGATTGAATGAGAAGACCTAAGACAGGGATAGATTGAATGACAAGACCTAAGACAGGGATAGATTGAATGACAAGACCTAAGACAGGGATAGATTGAATGACAAGACCTAAGACAGGGATAGATTGAATGACAAGACCTAAGATAGATTGAGAAGACCTAAGACCGGGGTAGATTGAAGACAATGATCGACTTCTAAATTTCCAGTTTATCTCACATTTTTTTTTTCAGCTGATAAAAGGGAAGGTAAAAATTGTTATATTTTGTTTTTTTTTTAACTTTTGTTCTTTCAAAATTTGTTAACATTCTTGTTAAAGATAACATTTTTTTAAAGTCCTTTGCATTTACAGTTGTTGCCCTTAGCTTACTATTTACAGTTGTACCCCTGACCTAACTATGTACATTGGTACCCCTGAGCTAAGCATATACATTGGTACCCACAGAAATTGCTACAATTTTACTGAGAGTTTTCCAAGATATAAATCTATAGTCATAAAAAGATTTTTGGCTTGACTAACTTGGAGACATTGACACAGTCAAAGTCAATTTGTCAGCAAGAAACTAGTTGGAAACAACTTAAGCCAATAGGATCAGCCAAAGCCAATTAGTGCAAGCATTGTAAGAGGTCACCTTTATCAAGATAATAATTACAACCAATATCTCTCTCAAATATTATTATTCAACTGCTTACATGAGATTTGTCTGTAGACAGTGAACTCAAGATATAACCATTGTTAACTTTGGAATGAACTCAAGATATATATATATATATATATATATATATATATATATATATATATATATATATATATATATATATATATATATATATATATATATAACTATATATATATAACTAAAGATATTACCATTGTTAACTTGTCAGCTGTTTGTCCACTGTGTACATTCAGATAATTTATTTTGTTGTGGACTTGAACCAAGTTCCTCAAACAAGGGGAGATCACTGCATTATTTACCTACATCAAACAAGGGGAGATCACTGCATTATTTACCTACATTAAACAAGGGGAGATCACTGCATTATTTACCTACATCAAACAAGGGGAGATCACTGCATTATTTACCTACATCAAACAAGGGGAGATCACTGCATTATTTACCTACATCAAACAAGTGGAGATCACTGCATTATTTATTTACATTAAACAAGGGGAGATCACTGCATTATTTATTTACATTAAACAAAGGGAGATCACTGCATTATTTATTTACATTAAACAAGGGGAGATCACTGCATTATTTATTTACATTAAACAAGGGGAGATCACTGCATTATTTACCTACATCAAACAAGGGGAGATCACTGCATTATTTACCTTCATCAAACAAGAGGAGATCACTGCATTATTTACCTTCATCAAACAAGGGGAGATCACTGTATTGTTCACCTACATCAAACAAGGGGAGATCACTGTATTGTACACCTACATCAAACAAGGGGAGATCACTGTATTGTACACCTACATCAAACAAGGGGAGATCACTGTATTGTACACCTACATCAAATAAGGGGAGATCACTGCATTATTTACCTACATCAAGCAAGGGGAGATCACTGTATTGTACACCTACATCATGCAAGGGGAGATCACTGTATTATTTACCTACACACTCCTGTCAGATACCCAACATACTTGATTCGCTAGTTAATTCTTGTTGAACTCTGTTGATAGTGCCTGATTTATGTGACAAGACATTTCTAATCCTACACTGTCTATGTTTGGAGTTGTCACATTTATATCTCATTTGCTTTCTGAGCTCACGAATTGTGCAAATAAAAAATCAGGCATGTTCAAAGGCAACAACTTTTTTTTTCCAGGACCATGTTAAAGCTAAAACTAGAGTTGAGGGTTACAGGAGATGGAATGTAGGTCAAACAATAAAGTTGAGGGTTACAGGAGATGGAATGTAGGTCAAACAATAAAGTTTAGGGTTACAGGAGATGGAATGTAGGTCAAACAATAAAGTTTAGGGTTACAGGAGATGGAATGTAGGTCAAACAATAAAGTTTAGGGTTACAGGAGATGGAATGTAGGTCAAACAATAAAGTTTAGGGTTACAGGAGATGGAATGTAGGTCAAACAATAAAGTTTAGGGTTACAGGAGATGGAATGTAGGTCAAACAATAAAGTTTAGGGTTACAGGAGATGGAATGTAGGTCAAACAATAAAGTTTAGGGTTACAGGAGTGGAATGTAGGTCAAACAATAAAGTTTAGGGTTAGAGGAGATGGAATGTAGGTCAAACTATAACGTTTAGGGTTACAGGAGATGGAATGTAGGTAAAACAATAAAGTTTAGGGTTACAGGAGATGGAATGTAGGTCAAACTATAAAGTTTGGGGTAACAGGAGATGGAATGTAGGTCAAACAATAACGTTTAGGGTTACAGGAGATGGAATGTAGGTCAAACAATAACGTTTAGGGTTACAGGAGATGGAATGTAGGTCAAACAATAACGTTTAGGGTTACAGGAGATGGAATGTAGGTCAAACAATAAAGTTGAGGGTTACAGGAGATGGAATGTAGGTCAAACAATAAAGTTTAGGGTTACAGGAGATGGAATGTAGGTCAAACAATAAAGTTTAGGGTTACAGGAGATGGAATGTAGGTAAAACAATAAAGTTTAGGGTTACAGGAGATGGAATGTAGGTCAAACTATAAAGTTTAGGGTTACAGGAGATGGAATGTAGGTCAAACAATAAAGTTTAGGGTTACAGGAGATGGAATGTAGGTCAAACAATAACGTTTAGGGTTACATGAGATGGAATGTAGGTCAAACAATAACGTTTAGGGTTACAGGAGATGGAATGTAGGTCAAACAATAAAGTTTAGGGTTACAGGAGTGGAATGTAGGTCAAACAATAAAGTTGAGGGTTACAGGAGATGGAATGTAGGTAAAACAATAAAGTTTAGGGTTACAGGAGATGGAATGTAGGTCAAACTATAAAGTTTAGGGTTACAGGAGATGGAATGTAGGTCAAACAATAAAGTTTAGGGTTACAGGAGATGGAATGTAGGTGTGTTGGAGCCAGGGACACACTAAGGTGTGTTGGGGCCATCTGGTTAACACCTTGTGAGTGAGGTTGTATCATGTGTGTGTACTATCTGGTTAACACCTTGTGAGTGAGGTTGTATCATGTGTGTGTACTATCTGTATAACACCTTGTGAGTGAGGTTGTATCATGTGTGTGTACTATCTGGTTAACACCTTTTATCATCCACCACCTGGCTATCAATCAGTGGCCCACTGTTTTCACTGTTTGACCTAACTGTGATCCAGTACCATTATCTTGTTATCAGATAGTTATTGATAGCTTTCAGGTCAACGGGTACTGTGTATGCAAATATTTAGTTTGTTATCTTTGTGAGGGCAGATGAGTGGAGGTTGTTTTAAAAGATTTATATTTTATTTAGTTTGATGTATAGTGGTTATATAGTCTGTTGTATAGTGGTTATATAGTCTGTTGTATAGTGGTTATATAGTCTGTTGTATAGTGGTTATATAGTCTATTGTATAGTGGTTATATAGTCTGTTGTACAGTGGTTATATAGTCTGTTGTATAGTGGTTATATAGTCTGTTGTATAGTGGTTATATAGTCTGATATATAGTGGTTATATAGTCTGTTGTATAGTGGTTATATAGTCTGTTGTATAGTGGTTATATAGTCTGTTGCATAGTGGTTATATAGTCTGTTGTATAGTGGTTATATAGTCTATTGTATAGTGGTTATATAGTCTGTTGTATAGTGGTTATATAGTCTGTTGTATAGTGGTTATATAGTCTATTGTATAGTGGTTATATAGTCTGTTGTACAGTGGTTATATAGTCTGTTGTATAGTGGTTATATAGTCTGATATATAGTGGTTATATAGTCTGTTGTATAGTGGTTATATAGTCTGTTGTATAGTGGTTATATAGTCTGATGTATAGTGGTTATATAGTCTGTTGTATAGTGGTTATATAGTCTGTTTTTTAGTGGTTATATAGTCTGTTGTATAGTGGTTATATAGTCTGTTGTATAGTGGTTATATAGTCTGATATATAGTGGTTATATAGTCTGTTGTATAGTGGTTATATAGTCTGTTGTATAGTGGTTATATAGTCTGATGTATAGTGGTTATATAGTCTGATGTATAGTGGTTATATAGTCTGATGTATAGTGGTTATATAGTCTGATGTATAGTGGTTATATAGTCTGATGTATAGTGGTTATATAGTCTGTTGTATAGTGGTTATATAGTCTGTTGTATAGTGGTTATATAGTCTGATGTATAGTGGTTATATAGTCTGTTGTATAGTGGTTATATAGTCTGTTGTATAGTGGTTATATAGTCTATTGTATAGTGGTTATATAGTCTGTTGTATAGTGGTTATATAGTCTGATGTATAGTGGTTATATAGTCTATTGTATAGTGGTTATATAGTCTGATGTATAGTGGTTATATAGTCTGTTGTATAGTGGTTATATAGTCTGTTGTATAGTGGTTATATAGTCTGTTGTATAGTGGTTATATAGTCTGTTGTATAGTGGTTATATAGTCTGTTGTATAGTGGTTATATAGTCTGATGTATAGTGGTTATATAGTCTGTTGTATAGTGGTTATATAGTCTGTTGTATAGTGGTTATATAGTCTGATGTATAGTGGTTATATAGTCTGATGTATAGTGGTTATATAGTCTGATGTATAGTGGTTATATAGTCTGATGTATAGTGGTTATATAGTCTGATGTATAGTGGTTATATAGTCTGATGTATAGTGGTTATATAGTCTGATGTATAGTGGTTATATAGTCTGATGTATAGTGGTTATATAGTCTGTTGTATAGTGGTTATATAGTCTGTTGTATAGTGGTTATATAGTCTGATGTATAGTGGTTATATAGTCTGAGGAGCCAGATGTCTTCTCTTAAGACAATTACCTGAATACCTTATGCCCGAAGGCCATTTTCCCGAATGGACATTAGCCCAAATGCGACAAATACCTGAATGGACACCTTCCCCAAGGCCATTTGCCTTTTCGGGAAAATGTTCTTTAGGCAAACAGCATTCTTGCAAGTGGCTTTTGTCAAGGACCCTATAGGCTAATGAGTGGTGTTTATATTGGCTGATATGTGGTGCTTATATTGGCTGATGTGTGGTGGTTATATTGGCTAATATGTGGTGGTTATATTGCCTACATGGTGGTTATATTGGCTGATATGTGGTGGTTATATTGGCTGATATGTGGTGGTTATATTGGCTGATATGTGGTGGTTATATTGGCTGATGTGTGGTGGTTATATAGGCTGATGTGTGGTGGTTATATTGGCTGATATGAGGTGGTTATATTGGCTGATATGTGGTGGTTATATTGGCTGATATGTGGTGGTTATATAGGCTGATGTGTGGTGGTTATATTGGCTGATATGTGGTGGTTATATTGGCTGATGTGTGGTGGTTATATTGGCTGATGTGTGGTGGTTATATTGGCTGATATGTGGTGGTTATATTGGCTGATGTGTGGTGGTTATATTGGCTGATGTGTGGTGGTTATATTGGGTGATGTGTGGTGGTTATATTGGGTGATGTGTGGTGGTTATATTGGCTGATGTGTGGTGGTTATATTGGCTGATGTGTTGTGGTTATATTGGCTGATGTGTGGTGGTTATATTGGCTGATGTGTGGTGGTTATATTGGCTGATGTGTGGTAGTTATATTGGCTATGTGTGGTGGTTATATTGGCTGATATGTGGTGGTTGTATTGGCTGATGTGTGGTGGTTATATTGGCTGATGTGTGGTGGTTATATTGGCTGATGTGTGGTGGTTATATTGGCTGATGTGTGGTGGTTATATTGGCTGATGTGTGGTAGTTATATTGGCTATGTGTGGTGGTTATATTGGCTGATATGTGGTGGTTATATTGGCTGATGTGTGGTGGTTATATTGGCTGATGTGTGGTGGTTATGTGGGGAGACATATGGAGGTTGTGAGGAAATATTTGGTAGGGGAACAAAACATTTGAACATTATTTAATCATTTGGTGCTAATGAACATGCCAGAAATTATACTTGCTACTGACCTAATAACATGCTAGAAATGGGACCTGACTCTCAAGTTGTTTTGGCAGACCAGCAATGAAGATAAGTAATGAAACTGCTGGACAGATTCAATCTTGCTTTTTAATTGAATGGCATTGTATTTGTCTTTCCCCCCCCCCCCTACCTAGATGGACATGCTGCGTACCCAAGTATAAAGTGTATGATGCACAAAACCACTGTGTCTTTACCATTGTAGGGGACTGCTGCTACTGCAAGTGTTGTACTGATGTTTTATTCAAGGTGAGCAACACACTATTAGTCTAATTATAACATGACCAACACACATTGTAGGGGACTGCTGCTACTGCAAGTGTTGTACTGATGTTTTATTCAAGGTGAGCAAGACCAACACATTATTAGTCTAATTATAACATGACCAACACATTATTAGTCTAATAATAACATGACCAACACATTATTAGTCTAATAATAACATGACCAACACATTATTAGTCTAATTATAACAAGACCAACACATTATTAGTCTAATAATAACAAGACCAACACATTATTAGTCTAATAATAACATGATGATTAGTTGTGGTGTCTTATTTACTAAGAGATTGTTTTGGAAACACATTTTTAGTTGCAATTCTATGTCTTGCCTACTCACCTTTATGAAGTAACATTGATTTGATCATACACTGCATTTAGAGGGTCAGTTGACACATAGACAGGTGGAACTACTACACTGCTAGATCCTGAGTAGGGTGGGGGGTTGTTTAGGACCCCAATTCTGACATCAAATAATTTGTGTGCTTCTTGATAGACTAGTGGTGTTTGATAGACTTAAGGTCTTTGTTAGACTAGTGGTCCTTTATAGACTAGTCATCTTTGCTAGACTTGACTAGTGGTTTTTGATAGGCTAGTCATTTTTATAAAAGAAAAAGCAGATCTACTACAACAGTGATTGTTTACAGTAACTAACACAGTGTTGCATAGAAAAAAATCACACGAACTGTAGTGTAAAAGATAGGCAAACGCTCAAACCATTTCCATGACTTCCTGCTCTTCTGCAAATAGTCTAAAGGGGTGCCCAATATGGGCTTTTTTTTCTAGTTTCACAACTATAGGTAGGGGAGTCCCAGTGACACTATTAGATCATTTATTTTTTTAAAGATTGCCGTGTTAAATTTTCATTTCTTCACACTATTACATACACATTTGTATGTTCCATTTGGTGGGTATTTACTTATGAGATTTCTAGTTAAAACTTGCTGTCGGTACCCATTACACGTAATTATAGGCCTATATATTTTAATGTTGTACTTGTTTGAGAGAGAGAATTTGCAGCATTAGCCACTTGAAGCCATTGCAAATGTTGATTGTTCCACCTGACAGGTATTTGAAGGAGACAGCGAGAACATGGAGGAAGGGCAGATCATCAAACATTGGGGCGGATGTCGTGAGCTTTTTGGTGGAGCTAACGATTTCAGCATCAAATGTAAGTTAGCCCCATTCAATCACCCATGTAAAACTGACATTAGCCCCATTCAATCACATGTAAAACTGACATTAGCCTCATCCAATCACCCATGTAAAACTGACATTAGCCCCATTCAATCACATGTAAAACTGACATCCCCATCCAATCACCCATGTAAAACTGACATTAGCCTCATCCAATCACCCATGTAAAACTGACATTAGCCTCATCCAATCACCCATGTAAAACTGACATTAGCCCCATCCAATCACCCATGTAAAACTGACATTAGCCCCATCCAATCACATGTAAAACTGACATTAGCCCCATCCAATCACCCATGTAAAACTGACATTAGCCTCATCCAATCACCCATGTAAAACTGACATTAGCCTCATCCAATCACCCATGTAAAACTGACATTAGCCCCATTCAATCACATGTAAAACTGACATTAGCCCCATTCAATCACATGTAAAACTGACATTAGCCCCATCCAATCACCCATGTAAAACTGACATTAGCCCCATTCAATCACATGTAAAACTGACATTAGCCTCATCCAATCACCCATGTAAAACTGACATTAGCCCCATCCAATCACATGTAAAACTGACATTAGCCCCATCCAATCACCCATGTAAAACTGACATTAGCCCCATCCAATCACATGTAAAACTGACATTAGCCCCATTCAATCACATGTAAAACTGACATTAGCCTCATCCAATCACCCATGTAAAACTGACATTAGCCCCATTCAATCACATGTAAAACTGACATTAGCCTCATCCAATCACCCATGTAAAACTGACATTAGCCCCATTCAATCACATGTAAAACTGACATCCCCATCCAATCACCCATGTAAAACTGACATTAGCCCCATTCAATCACATGTAAAACTGACATTAGCCCCATCCAATCACCCATGTAAAACTGACATTAGCCCCATCCAATCACCCATGTAAAACTGACATTAGCCCCATTCAATCACCCATGTAAAACTGACATCCCCATCCAATCATCCATGTAAAACTGACATTAGCCCCATTCAATCACATGTAAAACTGACATTAGCCTCATCCAATCACCCATGTAAAACTGACACTAGCCCCATTCAATCACATGTAAACTGACATTAGCCCCATTCAATCACATGTAAAACTGACATTAGCCCCATTCAATCACATGTAAAACTGACATTAGTCCCATCCAATCACCCATGTAAAACTGACATTAGCCCCATTCAATCACATGTAAAACTGACATTAGCCTCATCCAATCACATGTAAAACTGACATTAGCCCCATTCAATCACCCATGTAAAACTGACATTAGCCCCATCCAATCACCCATGTAAAACTGACATTAGCCCCATCCAATCACCCATGTAAAACTGACATTAGCCTCATCCAATCACCCATGTAAAACTGACATTAGCCTCATCCAATCACCCATGTAAAACTGACATTAGCCCCATTCAATCACCCATGTAAAACTGACATTAGCCTCATCCAATCACCCATGTAAAACTGACATTAGCCCCATTCAATCACATGTAAAACTGACATTAGCCTCATCCAATCACCCATGTAAAACTGACATTAGCCCCATCCAATCACCCATGTAAAACTGACATTAGCCCCATCCAATCACCCATGTAAAACTGACATTAGCCCCATCCAATCACCCATGTAAAACTGACATTAGCCTCATCCAATCACCCATGTAAAACTGACATTAGCCCCATCCAATCACCCATGTAAAACTGACATTAGCCCCATTCAATCACCCATGTAAAACTGACATTAGCCTCATCCAATCACCCATGTAAAACTGACATTAGCCCCATCCAATCACCCATGTAAAACTGACATTAGCCCCATCCAATCACCCATGTAAAACTGACATTAGCCCCATCCAATCACCCATGTAAAACTGACATTAGCCCCATTCAATCACCCATGTAAAACTGACATTAGCCCCATCCAATCACCCATGTAAAACTGACATTAGCCCCATTCAATCACATGTAAAACTGACATTAGCCCCATTCAATCACATGTAAAACTGACATTAGCCCCATCCAATCACCCATGTAAAACTGACATTAGCCTCATCCAATCACCCATGTAAAACTGACATTAGCCCCATTCAATCACATGTAAAACTGACATTAGCCCCATTCAATCACATGTAAAACTGACATTAGCCCCATCCAATCACCCATGTAAAACTGACATTAGCCTCATCCAATCACCCATGTAAAACTGACATTAGCCCCATTCAATCACCCATGTAAAACTGACATTAGCCCCATTCAATCACCCATGTAAAACTGACATTAGCCCCATCCAATCACCCATGTAAAACTCACATTAGCCCCATTCAATCACATGTAAAACTGACATTAGCCCCATTCAATCACATGTAAAACTGACATTAGCCCCATCCAATCACCCATGTAAAACTGACATTAGCCTCATCCAATCACCCATGTAAAACTGACATTAGCCCCATTCAATCACATGTAAAACTGACATTAGCCCCATTCAATCACATGTAAAACTGACATTAGCCCCATCCAATCACCCATGTAAAACTGACATTAGCCTCATCCAATCACCCATGTAAAACTGACATTAGCCCCATTCAATCACATGTAAAACTGACATTAGCCTCATCCAATCACCCATGTAAAACTGACATTAGCCCCATTCAATCACCCATGTAAAACTGACATTAGCCTCATTCAATCACCCATGTAAAACTGACATTAGCCCCATTCAATCACATGTAAAACTGACATTAGCCCCATCCAATCACCCATGTAAAACTGACATTAGCCTCATCCAATCACCCATGTAAAACTGACATTAGCCTCATCCAATCACCCATGTAAAACTGACATTAGCCCCATTCAATCACATGTAAAACTGACATTAGCCTCATCCAATCACCCATGTAAAACTGACATTAGCCCCATTCAATCACATGTAAAACTGACATTAGCCTCATCCAATCACCCATGTAAAACTGACATTAGCCCCATTCAATCACATGTAAAACTGACATTAGCCCCATTCAATCACATGTAAAACTGACATTAGCCCCATTCAATCACATGTAAAACTGACATTAGCCTCATCCAATCACCCATGTAAAACTGACATTAGCCCCATTCAATCACCCATGTAAAACTGACATTAGCCTCATTCAATCACCCATGTAAAACTGACATTAGCCCCATTCAATCACATGTAAAACTGACATTAGCCCCATCCAATCACCCATGTAAAACTGACATTAGCCTCATCCAATCACCCATGTAAAACTGACATTAGCCTCATCCAATCACCCATGTAAAACTGACATTAGCCCCATTCAATCACATGTAAAACTGACATTAGCCTCATCCAATCACCCATGTAAAACTGACATTAGCCCCATTCAATCACATGTAAAACTGACATTAGCCTCATCCAATCACCCATGTAAAACTGACATTAGCCCCATTCAATCACATGTAAAACTGACATTAGCCCCATTCAATCACATGTAAAACTGACATTAGCCTCATCCAATCACCCATGTAAAACTGACATTAGCCTCATCCAATCACCCATGTAAAACTGACATTAGCCCCATTCAATCACATGTAAAACTGACATTAGCCCCATCCAATCACCCATGTAAAACTGACATTAGCCTCATCCAATCACCCATGTAAAACTGACATTAGCCTCATCCAATCACCCATGTAAAACTGACATTAGCCTCATCCAATCACCCATGTAAAACTGACATTAGCCTCATCCAATCACCCATGTAAAACTGACATTAGCCTCATCCAATCACCCATGTAAAACTGACATTAGCCTCATCCAATCACATGTAAAACTGACATTAGCCCCATTCAATCACATGTAAAACTGACATTAGCCCCATCCAATCACCCATGTAAAACTGACATTAGCCTCATCCAATCACATGTAAAACTGACATTAGCCCCATTCAATCACCCATGTAAAACTGACATTAGCCCCATTCAATCACCCATGTAAAACTGACATTAGCCCCATTCAATCACATGTAAAACTGACATTAGCCTCATCCAATCACCCATGTATAACTGACATTAGCCTCATCCAATCACCCATGTAAAACTGACATTAGCCCCATCCAATCACATGTAAAACTGACATTAGCCCCATCCAATCACCCATGTAAAACTGACATTAGCCTCATCCAATCACATGTAAAACTGACATTAGCCCCATCCAATCACCCATGTAAAACTGACATCCCCATCCAATCACCCATGTAAAACTGACATTAGCCCCATCCAATCACCCATGTAAAACTGACATTAGCCTCATTCAATCACATGTAAAACTGACATTAGCCTCATCCAATCACCCATGTAAAACTGACTTTAGCCCCATTCAATCACCCATGTAAAACTGACATTAGCCTCATCCAATCACCCATGTAAAACTGACATTAGCCTCATCCAATCACCCATGTAAAACTGACATTAGCCCCATTCAATCACCCATGTAAAACTGACATTAGCCTCATCCAATCACATGTAAAACTGACATTAGCCCCATCCAATCACCCATGTAAAACTGACATCCCCATCCAATCACCCATGTAAAACTGACATTAGCCCCATTCAATCACCCATGTAAAACTGACATTAGCCTCATCCAATCACCCATGTAAAACTGACATTAGCCCCATCCAATCACCCATGTAAAACTGACATTAGCCTCATTCAATCACATGTAAAACTGACATTAGCCTCATCCAATCACATGTAAAACTGACATTAGCCCCATTCAATCACATGTAAAACTGACATTAGCCCCATCCAATCACCCATGTAAAACTGACATTAGCCCCATTCAATCACATGTAAAACTGACATTAGCCTCATCCAATCACATGTAAAACTGACATTAGCCCCATTCAATCACCCATGTAAAACTGACATTAGCCCCATTAAATCACATGTAAAACTGACATTAGCCTCATCCAATCACCCATGTATAACTGACATTAGCCTCATCCAATCACCCATGTAAAACTGACATTAGCCCCATCCAATCACATGTAAAACTGACATTAGCCCCATCCAATCACCCATGTAAAACTGACATTAGCCTCATCCAATCACATGTAAAACTGACATTAGCCCCATCCAATCACCCATGTAAAACTGACATCCCCATCCAATCACCCATGTAAAACTGACATTAGCCTCATCCAATCACCCTATGTAAAACTGACATTAGCCCCATCCAATCACCCATGTAAAACTGACATTAGCCTCATTCAATCACATGTAAAACTGACATTAGCCTCATCCAATCACCCATGTAAAACTGACATTAGCCCCATTCAATCACCCATGTAAAACTGACATTAGCCTCATCCAATCACCCATGTAAAACTGACATTAGCCTCATCCAATCACCCATGTAAAACTGACATTAGCCCCATTCAATCACATGTAAAACTGACATTAGCCCCATTCAATCACATGTAAAACTGACATTAGCCCCATTCAATCACCCATGTAAAACTGACATTAGCCCCATTCAATCACCCATGTAAAACTGACATTAGCCCCATTCAATCACATGTAAAACTGACATTAGCCTCATCCAATCACCCATGTATAACTGACATTAGCCTCATCCAATCACCCATGTAAAACTGACATTAGCCCCATCCAATCACATGTAAAACTGACATTAGCCCCATCCAATCACCCATGTAAAACTGACATTAGCCTCATCCAATCACATGTAAAACTGACATTAGCCCCATCCAATCACCCATGTAAAACTGACATCCCCATCCAATCACCCATGTAAAACTGACATTAGCCTCATCCAATCACCCTATGTAAAACTGACATTAGCCCCATCCAATCACCCATGTAAAACTGACATTAGCCTCATTCAATCACATGTAAAACTGACATTAGCCTCATCCAATCACCCATGTAAAACTGACATTAGCCCCATTCAATCACCCATGTAAAACTGACATTAGCCTCATCCAATCACATGTAAAACTGACATTAGCCCCATCCAATCACCCATGTAAAACTGACATCCCCATCCAATCACCCATGTAAAACTGACATTAGCCCCATTCAATCACCCATGTAAAACTGACATTAGCCTCATCCAATCACCCATGTAAAACTGACATTAGCCCCATCCAATCACCCATGTAAAACTGACATTAGCCTCATTCAATCACATGTAAAACTGACATTAGCCTCATCCAATCACATGTAAAACTGACATTAGCCCCATTCAATCACATGTAAAACTGACATTAGCCCCATCCAATCACCCATGTAAAACTGACATTAGCCCCATTCAATCACATGTAAAACTGACATTAGCCTCATCCAATCACATGTAAAACTGACATTAGCCCCATTCAATCACCCATGTAAAACTGACATTAGCCCCATTCAATCACATGTAAAACTGACATTAGCCTCATCCAATCACCCATGTATAACTGACATTAGCCTCATCCAATCACCCATGTAAAACTGACATTAGCCCCATCCAATCACATGTAAAACTGACATTAGCCCCATCCAATCACCCATGTAAAACTGACATTAGCCTCATCCAATCACATGTAAAACTGACATTAGCCCCATCCAATCACCCATGTAAAACTGACATCCCCATCCAATCACCCATGTAAAACTGACATTAGCCTCATCCAATCACCCTATGTAAAACTGACATTAGCCCCATCCAATCACCCATGTAAAACTGACATTAGCCTCATTCAATCACATGTTAAACTGACATTAGCCTCATCCAATCACCCATGTAAAACTGACATTAGCCCCATTCAATCACCCATGTAAAACTGACATTAGCCTCATCCAATCACCCATGTAAAACTGACATTAGCCTCATCCAATCACCCATGTAAAACTGACATTAGCCCCATTCAATCACATGTAAAACTGACATTAGCCCCATTCAATCACATGTAAAACTGACATTAGCCCCATTCAATCACCCATGTAAAACTGACATTAGCCCCATTCAATCACCCATGTAAAACTGACATTAGCCCCATTCAATCACATGTAAAACTGACATTAGCCTCATCCAATCACCCATGTATAACTGACATTAGCCTCATCCAATCACCCATGTAAAACTGACATTAGCCCCATCCAATCACATGTAAAACTGACATTAGCCCCATCCAATCACCCATGTAAAACTGACATTAGCCTCATCCAATCACATGTAAAACTGACATTAGCCCCATCCAATCACCCATGTAAAACTGACATCCCCATCCAATCACCCATGTAAAACTGACATTAGCCTCATCCAATCACCCTATGTAAAACTGACATTAGCCCCATCCAATCACCCATGTAAAACTGACATTAGCCTCATTCAATCACATGTAAAACTGACATTAGCCTCATCCAATCACCCATGTAAAACTGACATTAGCCCCATTCAATCACCCATGTAAAACTGACATTAGCCTCATCCAATCACCCATGTAAAACTGACATTAGCCTCATCCAATCACCCATGTAAAACTGACATTAGCCCCATTCAATCACATGTAAAACTGACATTAGCCCCATTCAATCACATGTAAAACTGACATTAGCCCCATTCAATCACATGTAAAACTGACATTAGCCCCATTCAATCACATGTAAAACTGACATTAGCCTCATCCAATCACCCATGTAAAACTGACATTAGCCTCATCCAATCACCCATGTAAAACTGACATTAGCCCCATCCAATCACCCATGTAAAACTGACATTAGCCTCATCCAATCACATGTAAAACTGACATTAGCCCCATCCAATCACCCATGTAAAACTGACATCCCCATCCAATCACCCATGTAAAACTGACATTAGCCTCATCCAATCACCCTATGTAAAACTGACATTAGCCCCATCCAATCACCCATGTAAAACTGACATTAGCCTCATTCAATCACATGTAAAACTGACATTAGCCTCATCCAATCACCCATGTAAAACTGACATTAGCCCCATTCAATCACCCATGTAAAACTGACATTAGCCTCATCCAATCACCCATGTAAAACTGACATTAGCCTCATCCAATCACCCATGTAAAACTGACATTAGCCCCATTCAATCACCCATGTAAAACTGACATTAGCCTCATCCAATCACATGTAAAACTGACATTAGCCCCATTCAATCACCCATGTAAAACTGACATCCCCATCCAATCACCCATGTAAAACTGACATTAGCCCCATTCAATCACATGTAAAACTGACATTAGCCCCATCCAATCACCCATGTAAAACTGACATTAGCCCCATCCAATCACCCATGTAAAACTGACATTAGCCTCATTCAATCACATGTAAAACTGACATTAGCCTCATCCAATCACCCATGTAAAACTGACATTAGCCCCATTCAATCACCCATGTAAAACTGACATCCCCATCCAATCATCCATGTAAAACTGACATTAGCCCCATCCAATCACCCATGTAAAACTGACATTAGCCCCATTCAATCACCCATGTAAAACTGACATTAGCCCCATTCAATCACATGTAAAACTGACATTAGCCCCATCCAATCACATGTAAAACTGACATTAGCCTCATCCAATCACCCATGTAAAACTGACATTAGCCTCATCTAATCACCCATGTAAAACTGACATTAGCCTCATCCAATCACATGTAAAACTGACATTAGCCTCATCCAATCACCCATGTAAAACTGACATTAGCCTCATCCAATCACATGTAAAACTGACATTAGCCTCATCCAATCACCCATGTAAAACTGACATTAGCCTCATCCAATCACCCATGTAAAACTGACATTAGCCTCATCCAATCACCCATGTAAAACTGACATTAGCCTCATCCAATCACCCATGTAAAACTGACATTAGCCTCATCCAATCACCCATGTAAAACTGACATTAGCCTCATCCAATCACCCATGTAAAACTGACATTAGCCCCATCCAATCACCCATGTAAAACTGACATTAGCCCCATCCAATCACCCATGTAAAACTGACATTAGCCTCATCCAATCACCCATGTAAAACTGACATTAGCCCCATCCAATCACCCATGTAAAACTGACATTAGCCCCATCCAATCACCCATGTAAAACTGACATTAGCCCCATCCAATCACCCATGTAAAACTGACATTAGTGTTCCCTAAATGTTTTTGTTCCCTAAATGTTTTTGTTCCCTAGATGTTTTTGTTCCCTAGATGTTCCCTAAATGTTTTTGTTCCCTAAATGTTTTTGTTCCCTAGATGTTTGTGTTCCCTAAACATTTTCCTCTCTGTTTAGTCCCAGCCAACATGGATCTAATGAAGAAAGTCTTGCTCTTTGGTGCCACCTTCCTCATTGACTTCAACTATTTTGAATACCGTGGGAATCAATAGAGAGGCCAGACTGTCCACCCCATCACTAAAAGGATGGCTGGGTTAATGTCCACCCATGATGGTGTGCATGTTTTTAGGATCTGTGGTTTTTTTATAACATTTTTTAAAAGCCTTAACAAATGTGTGTAAAATAGAAGAGCCATATGGAACATAAATGATGACAATGATATTATTTTTACATCACTTCAGTAGAATTCAATAAATAGAGTGTTTGATATTTGAGCCTTCAAATTTTTCAATCATGATTTTTTTGAGCTATCAACTTTTTGAGCCATGATTTTTTTTGAGCCGTCAACTTTTTCCACCATGATTTTTGAGCTATCAACTTTTTGAGCCGTGAATGAGACTAAAGCTGTTGTGGTTGTATTATACAAACAATATTTTTTACATTTATTTTCATGCACATAAACTACTTTATAAACTGTCCTTTCTCTTTACAAGAAGCATTTGTGTACATTTTTACTTAACAGTTAAAAATACAAGGTTTTTGCTACTATATATATATATATCTAAGCTGAACAAAGGTCTAAATTGTCCAGCCCAAATACTGACTACTGTTTGCTCCTTGAGTCTTGAAATGACCAGCAGTTTTCACCACCTTCCACTTGAAGTGTGACGTAGGGCGCAAATGCTTATATATTAATAGATGTGGACAGCTTTTGAAAGTTAGCATTTGTTAATATGTGGACAACTTTTGAAATTAGCATTTTTTAATATATGGACAACTTTTGAAAGTTAGCATTTTTTAATATATGGACAACTTTTGAAAGTTAGCATTTTTTAATATATGGACAACTATTGAAAGTCAGCATTTTTTAATATGTGGACAACTGTTGAAAGTCAGCATTTGTTAATATGTGGACAACTGTTGAAAGTCAGCATTTGTTAATATGTGGACAACTGTTGAAAGTCAGCATTTGTTAATATGTGGACAACTGTTGAAAGTCAGCATTTGTTAATATGTGGACAACTGTTGAAAGTCAGCATTTGTTAATATGTGGACAACTGTTGAAAGTCAGCATTTGTTAATATGTGGACAACTGTTGAAAGTCAGCATTTGTTAATATGTGGACAACTGTTGAAAGTCAGCATTTGTTAATATGTGGACAACTGTTGAAAGTCAGCATTTGTTAATATGTGGACAACTGTTGAAAGTCAGCATTTGTTAATATGTGGACAACTGTTGAAAGTCAGCATTTGTTAATATGTGGACAACTGTTGAAAGTCAGCATTTGTTAATATGTGGACAACTGTTGAAAGTCAGCATTTGTTAATATGTGTACAACTGTTGAAAGTCAGCATTTGTTAATATGTGGACAACTTTTGAAAGTCAGCATTTGTTAATATGTGTACAACTGTTGAAAGTCAGCATTTGTTAATATGTGGACAACTTTTGAAAGTTAGCATTAGGTCAACTAGCATTTAGTGAACAAAAGTATAGTCTTAGTAGTATATTCAGTTTATCTGTTACTTTTATTGTGATTCTATTGGTGATTTTACCGTTACTTTTGGTGAGGTAAGATTTTGTCTTATACTTTTGGTGAGGTAAAAAAAAATTGTCTAAAAAGTTTTGATGTGATCTAAGTGTGAATGAATTGTATTTGTATAAAAAATGTACATAAACTGTGTAGTGGTGTAACTATTTTTTTAGTTGTTACTTTATGTTCAAAGAATTTAAATGTACAATAAAAAGTGGTGCCACCTGTTTCCTTGTGAAAATTTTTATTTTTGGTAGTGTTTATTTTCAATATTGGGGGGGGGGGGGGGGGGGGTTATCCATCTGTGTGATCCACAGTTGGATGGAGGACATCCATTTGTGTGGATCACACAGATGGGGGGGGGGGTATCTAATATGTTGTTTGTAAGTAAGTGAACTGGGGGGGGGGGGGGTACAGCTCAAGTTAACTGTGGGGGGGGGGGGGGGTACAGCTCAAGTTAACTGGGGGGTTGTGGGTACAGCTCAAGTTAACTGGGGGGTTGTGGGTACAGCTCAAGTTAACTGTCTTGGCGCTCTCAGCATGTTGACCTGCTCATAGGCAATCCCTTACAGGCTGCCTACGATGCGCGGCAACGGGTACGGAACGCTGGTGTTCCGCAACAAACTTTGGACTTCCCGTTCCGGGAAACTCCCCTCCTCCAGTGGGTGGAAAGCCAGAGGGTCGAACTGCCGGGGGGGGGGGAGTTTCAATAAGTTTTGCCTAGGGCGCTAAATAACGTGGCGCCGGCACGGTTAACAACGCACCACAAAGCTTTTCTAAATTGATGTTAACACGTTTTAGAGGCTTGATAGTTCAGTAAAAAATAATTGTATTTTTACAAGCTTTTATTAAACTCACTTCCTCGTCAGTCTATCTGTCTGTCTAGATCAGGGGTCGGCAACATGCGGCTCTTTTGATATCAAGATGCGACTCTCCAGCTCCTTGAACAAACACTAATAATCTTTATAAAAAATAAAATATTTGAAATTTTAAAAAATGTTAGTGGCTCTTTAAAACCAGGTAAATTTTGAAAATTGTAACTTTTGGCTCTTCCGCTTCAAAAGGTTGCCGACCCCTGGTCTAGATCGAAAAGCGTGGGTCTCTTCCTAAATATTAGTAAAGGTAGGTATCCAATAGATAATAAAGTGATCCACGCTTTTCTTTATAGATATTTAAATAGTAGTCTATAATTTGTTTTATCCTTTTTAGTGTATTATTACATAAAACCTTGTTATTAAAACGTTTTTTATGAATTTTTTTTTTACAAGCTTTTATTTAACTCACTTCCTCTGTCGTCAGACTGTCTGTCTAGATCGAAACGCCAGAGCGAAATGCAGGCACCTCTACCTGACAGATACGGTTAGCCGTTGGTACGTGGGTCAAGACATGAAGACAATGTATCATGACATTCAATTTGTCTCAATTGGTCGCCTGATTAATTTTTTTTATTAATTAATTAAAAATTTGATTAAATTAGTAGGCAGTCCTATCCAATTACTCCACACGCGTCATCACGTTCAACAGCGCGTCATAACATTCAATAGGCCCGCAATGGTTTTTAGTCATGTAACTCTATCCATCCATCAATCCATCTACCCATCTATCTTTCTATCTATCTTTCTATCTATCTATCTATCTATCTATATATATATATATATATATATATATATATATATATATATATATATATATATATATATATATATATATACACTACTAAAACTCAAGTTTGTTTACATGTTTGAATATTTATTTGTTTTTTTTTTTTTTTGTCTGATTGACTATTGTAAATGGATCTACGCTATATGCAGAACTGTAAAATAGTATGTAGGAAGAGAACAATTTTTGTTTTCAGACAGACTGTTAATCATAAGTTTATTTAAAGACGTTAATTAATTTTTTTATTTATTCATAGGTAGATTAACCACATTAATTTTAAAGATTTAGAACAATTGCTTTCTTTGACTGAATAGTGACGTCACAAGTTTTGTTTACTTTTTAGTACAATAACATGGCGGCTTCGATCATAGACTTTGTGGCCCATTCAAAAGTTTAACGCGTTCTAAATCTAATTTTCTGTCGGCCATAAGTTTAACAATACGTCCGTTTGCTGTTTTTATTACGTTCCAACATTTATATAAATTTTCAACTGTCTTTTTCATTTAGTTTTACAATAAATTTCTGTAGCTCTACAACCTGTCCAAGAAAGTTATTTATAGATTTAAAAATATCAGCTGGCCAAGGAATTAATTTATAGATCTATATCTAGAATCTAGGTCAAACCAAAGATTAATTAGATACATACAAAAAAAAATAATTAGATAAAAATACAAGCCATTTTACAATCATAATACATTTTTAGCTCTTAAATACTTGATATAAATCTTTGGGATTTATCTATCTAGATCTATCTAGCTAGAATAGGTCTAATGATTAGATCTAGATTCTATGTAAGCCCTGCTTGGGGGGGATACCTAAAATCTACCCTTCTAGGCTTATCTAACTACTGTCCGGTCAGTGCAAGTCCGGCTAAACCCAGACTGGTTAATAACCTAACCTTAGTCTAAATTAAAAACAAAAAAACTTTTAACAATTTAATAAAATTTATTTTTCAAAAATAAGGAACCAATGGAAAAATTACAGAAAAAGAATAGATAAAAACTGACACAAAACAGACAAAACAAAACCAAACAAAACAGTTTATATACAGCAAAACATTACGTTCGACCATTTGCTGGTGTTGCACCGACTTATGTCTAGGATGGTCCAGGCCCTGACACACAGAAACCTCCCTTCATCCATTCTCGACATCCAAAAGTCCACACCAAACAAAACACTACGTAAAACCACTATGTACAATACGTTACGTACAATACATTACGTAGAACACAATACGTACACAACAAACTTTTTACAAACAAAACAATTCATATATAACAAAACACCCAGCCAAGTTGCCCAAGCAACCTCACTGGAAGGGGGGGGGGGGGGAGAGAAAAAGAAAAGGGAAACATAAGAAAAATGCATGGTAATGGCAGATATATACATAAATATATACACAAGTTCAAAATGCTACCTACTAATACTATCTAGCTAAAGCCTCGAGTAAAACTAATCCTTACTATACAATTCTAAAAGCAATTCTCAAAAACAACTAACCACTGTCTAAAGAAGAACTAGCAACTTAAAAATAACGTGTAAACAAATTCATTGTAGAACCAATCTTTCCTACACAAGGAGCAGCCCGAAGCCATTGGTCTACATAAACAATATCCATATTGATAACATTAAAGTTAACACACTCCGCTAAGGCCCCAATGAAGGCAGACACAAAGCAAGCGATACTCAACATGACGTTGCACGAAACAGCACACACATTAATTTTAAACAACCTAAAACTTGAGGCAACTAAAATATACTAATCTAATTACTGTCTAAAACAACTGACTATTGACTAAGCCAATCCTAGTCAATAACACATCATAAAACAATCAGGTAAAAGCACACACGCATTCACACCAGTTTAGGAAACACTCCTAAACACACTGACCTAAACCACGTGGTCCGAAACACACGCCAAGGGTTTAGAAAATACAAATTTAAAATCTCTCAAAATAACACACCACGTGCATACCAGACATGCCGATGCTCACTATCTCGTTTTAAACGAAAATGAAAGAAAACGAGAAACATCGGCAGTCTCATTCATACAAATCACTTAAAGATAAAGTATAAAAAAACAAATACCTCCACGCGTGAGGTGCGCCACGCGCCCACACAGAAACCTGACCCGACCTACATCTCGCCGCGGGTCAAAAAGGAAGAAAATCCTCCGAGCGGTCAATTTATACTGACCGCTTCTGACGGAAGGGGGACCCCGTGGCTGTTCCCCATTGGACTACCATGCACTCCCAGATTCGCAACAAATAAAATAATACAAAATAATCCATTCACCCGCTCACATCTAGATCTAGCAAGAGTAAGAGTTACGCAAAAACTAGACTTAAGACTTATGCAAACAAGTCGTTGAATCTAGATAATTCTATCTAGATCTAGATAATTTCAATCCTTCATTATTTTATATAAATCTTTGTTTGGCTAATTTAAGATAAAATTTAATTTGAAAGTTACTACTACTAGACTTAGATCTAGATCTATGCGCGTAAATCAAGTTGCATAAGGAGACTCAAAGTATTAAACTATAGTATAAAAAACATCTGAGACGTCACGAGTTAAATAGCTAAGTTAGTGTAATCGGCTTGCATGCGGGTGGCACAGGTTCTAGACCAATCCGTCAATGATATTTTTTTTCTTTCAATTTTTCTTTTATTTTTTAGATGTGAATGATAACGTTGCCTCTCTGAACTTGGCGGGATCCAGGACAGGTGAAGTAGAGTTAATCTGTTTCTTTGTCCTAAGCATATGAAGGGATAGTGTTGTCAGAGACATGCTCGGCTGGAACGATAAAAACATGTTGTCTTAGACTTGGCGGGACACTGGGCAGGTGAAGTAGAGTTGAGTAGGTCACCTGTGACGTTAGTATATGAAGGGCTAGTCCGAAATAGGTGTTTTCGGTGTTTTTAAAAGATAAAAAACAACTTTTTGAATGTGGGGTCAGGTTTTTTGTGACGATAATTGACAGACGTGATGTTTTTTATGGATGACCCCCGAAACCCACAGTTAACCAACGGATGACGGGTAGTCTAGTATACTACTAAAACTCAAGTTTGTTTACATGTTTGAATATTTAATTTTTTTTTTGTTTGTCTGATTGACTATTGTAAATGGTTCTACTCTATGTGGAGAGCTGTAAAATAGTATTTAAGTAGAGAACAATTTTTGTTCTCAGACAGACTGTTAATCACAAATTTATTTAAAGACGTTAATTAATTTATTGATTTATTCTTAGGTAGATTAACCACATTAATTTTAAAAGATTAGAAAAACGACTTGACTTGACGGAATAGTGACGTCACATGATGTGTTTATTTTTTACATCAATAATGGCGGCCTATTGAAGAAGATTGTGTTCCCATTCCAATGTTTAACGCTTTCTAAAGCTAATTTTCTGTCAGCTATATTTTTAACAATACGTCTGTTTGCTGTATTTATTACGTTCCAACACTTATATAAATTTTCAACTGTCTTTTTATTTAGCTTTACGATAAATTTCTCTAGATCTACAGATCAGCTGTCGAAGGGAGAACAAGCGTCAAGCTGAAGTTATGA